AAGTCAGCAAAGCACTGACACCATATTGTAGTATGGAGAGTCTAGAATAAGAAAAGAAATTTGTCTGAATGGCTGCAGAATAACTGGCCCAAATCCAGGAAACACCACTGCCTTCACCAGTAGAGCAGTACTCATCTCTAACACATCATGTTCTTCAACTGAAAAAGGGATCCAATTTAGATCAGTTTTGAAAAGGTAACTTGATCTTATTGATAGTATACACCATACCCAGGAGCAACACTATTTGCCATTTTTGCCATTTCTACTAGTACTATATGATCAGCTTTATAAAAATGGTTTTGATCGTTTTAAACAAAAGCTTGGGTTTCCTCCCACCAAATCACAAATTTACTCCTTTAAGCCTTTAACATTGTGAATTCATTCATATTTTAACTGACCATTTTAAAAGTTTATTTTGTGTTAGCATTGCAAACCCAAAATCTAAGCCCTGTTGGGATTTGATACCATACTTACCATGAACAACCCTTCTTTGAGATACACAACTTATTGAGAAAGCACAAGGCAAGCTTTGTTCTATGATGGTATTTCTAAACAGAAGAGGAAACACGGCAGCAATAATGAACCTTCATTTTATATAGCTTGTTCCCTAAAACCAAAGATATAATACAATACAATTTTTTCTTAAAATGGACCTTGAACCAGTTTTATTGTAGAAAACACCTTTACAGCATTTATTTCTCACTGGTTTGTTCTGGCATGCTTCTAATGATGTCAGAATCACCTGTAAAACAAAAATACATTCTTACAAAAGGGTCCATAGCAAGGTATGTTTCAACAGTAAACCCCACAATATTAACAAATACTAATTCTACAAACAGGAAAAGTTTTGAAGTAGAGCAAAGAAAACCTATCTGGAAACAAAGCAAGGAATTTTGATGGCTTGATAAAAATACCTGTAACTGCAGTTTGCTAACTGGCACAGAATCTAATATATATTCAGGATAATTACATACATGTCACTAGCATTTACAAAGCCAGCACTAGAACAGCAATCTAGTCCTGGCGGACACAATACTTAGCTTTAATATAGCGAATGTCTAGCCTCCCCTGATCACCAAGAAATCAGGACAGCGAGAATATTCGCATACAGATTTTAGATTTCATTCCAGCTCCTTAATTTACAAATAGCTTAGCATAAAGATCCCAATATGACAGCCATAAAGTCAGGAAGATAGATAACATTTTCAAAATGAAGTTTACAGCTAGTGTTTAAATACAAAAAAGCTTAATAAGTCTTTCTTAAAATAAGATAATCACAGTGAATTCAATTTCATTTTCCTTGGAGAATATTTAGTGAAAGTTAATATAGAAACCATTACATCTATACACATTCATTTAATTAAAATGCATTTGGTCAACCAGCAAGAATGAAGAAGTATTTGATTCTTCATTTAGAAGATTTTGGACTTCACTGTGGAAGTTTTTGGATAAGTCACCCTATTAGCAGTTTACACAGAGAACTGAAACAACCGTCTGGGACAAAGGCTGCTACCCGTCTACAGTAACTATGCGCAGATTTATTATTTTAAAATAAAACATATTTAACAATCTCCTATGCTGTAGCTAGATAACTATCTGCTTATATGTATAGCTTATTTTCCTGAATGTCATTCTGGAAAGATGGACAACTCGCAACCTAGAGAATTATAGTGACCATCCGTCTTATATCCACAAAGGTGGAAAGAAGCTGATGCAGAAAGTCTGCCTCACAAGTTGGTTTTCCAACAGATTGTCTCAACAACACACACTGTAAAGCTTCCTCCCAGCCAGGAAGCAGCTTTACAGTATAAAAATCTTCTCACTACCTCAGTGCTGCTGGCAGGTGAGCGAAGGAGCCAGCGAGCACAGGGCCAGGGACACGTACCAGGGTCAATGATGGCCAGCGTGCACACTCTGTAGTACTTCCCACATGCTGTACCCAGTTCGATGTTGTTGCCACTGTAGTGATGGACACCAGTCTTTGCAAGCATAGCATAATACTCGATCTCTGATTTTCTGAAATTCAAAGGACAGGTATTAAAAGTACTGAAAAACAATTCTGATTGGTCTTAGTACAGTCAAAGTATTTAACTCAGCCACACTTAAGTCCTGCATGCTTTTCCCTCCGCTTCAGAAAAGAATAAAATAAAATTTAAAACCACCTTAGTTATTTATGGCCAGGCAATAATCGTATCTCAGCTCTGGAACCTTACCCAGAAGCGTGCTGAAGATATGCAGCAGGAAGCCCACTGCTCACTTGTAACCCTCTAAGTTGCTCCTACACATAAACATTCATCTGTGTTTTCAAGACTTTCAAACTTCTGAAAAGTAGTCATAGTTATGCCAGCTGCATCAACTACGACCACTATTCATGCTGACTGGATTTGGCTGCTGCTGCCTGCCGCTGAGACATGAGATACTGACTGGATTTGGCTGCTGCTGCCTGCGAGATCAACTGTTTTTAAGTCAACCTGTGAATCTCTGTTGACTTCCACTAGGAAATTCCAGTGGTTAACATTGTTCCACGAGCTCTTTCCAGATTCGTAAGAATTTTAACACTGTAAAAGCACTGTCCTTTCTCAGGCATCTAGATTATCTGTCAGCTTCTTGCATCTGTCAATAGTCTTTCATGAGAAAAGGACCCAAAACTACAAAACAGAACACATGAGGATTGAGGAATGAAAGATTTAACTGACCTAAATAAATGAATAGATAGATAGATAAATAATAAAGCCAATTTCACTGGCCAGGAAGTTAAATTTAGAATTTATTTTAGACAATATGTCAGCAAACTTCATAACCCTTAAATGTGAAATCCGCATCACTTACTATAGCTCTAACTGTAACCTTATTTTTCCAATATACTCCTTTGGCAGAAAAAAATAACGCAGTGCTATTACCCTTTCAATGAATATTATCAGAGCATGAAAATGTACGTTATCTAATGTAAAACCTTTGTACTACATGAACCTGGAGAACAGTTAGGAAGCATTCTAATGTATGTAGACATAAAGTTGTGGGTTTTTTTCCTCTCTCCCTCCACTTTTACTTCAGAGCAGACTGGAATACACCAGTGCTTTGCATTAACACTTCACTACAGAAAACCACATTTGTGCAAAGGACCTACCCTAGATTTAAGGGTAATTGCTGTGTTAGTTACCTACCTTAGAGCAGGACAGTTGTTGGCTAGGATGACCAACTTGGCTTTGCCCTGCCGGATCATTTTCAGAGTCTGTTTGTACCCCAGCACATATTTACCACTTTTCATAACCAGCTGAAGCCGGGAGTTTATGGACTCTAGCGACTTTTTCTGAAAGAGGCAGAAAAGCATTACCACATATATCCTTGCCTTTTTCAAGGCAGCACAGAACATAAGAGCAAGCAAAAATTGCAAATGCAGGCATTCTTTCCATTATTTCTGTATCATTTGCAGGAAAGAGTAAGAAAGCCAG